TTTAGGGTTTAGGGATTCAGGGTTTCCATAGTTCAAAGGTTAGGGCTTGGGTTTCAGGGCTTAGGATTTAGGGTTTCGAGGTTTAGTGGTTCATTGGTTGTTGGGTTTTAAGGGCGTTTTGCGGTGTATACAGGGCCGGGGTTGGAGGATATACAGGTGGTGGTACGGAGGGTGCGAGGCAGGGGGGAAATCTTAAGCAAACTGGTCGCTGTTTTTAGCTTGACTTGCAGGAATCCCCTGCTCACGCTGCCCCAGATTTGTAGCTACGTGATACTGTCCTGGGCCCTTTGTTATTCCCGCTGCAGAATGCTGCATGGTCGCTCCATTTAGATGATACGTGCTTGGAGAACTAAAGCTGGCACCCATACAGTATCCGCATAGTAACCTTATAGCTAATTTACGGAACTTTACGGTACCCTTATGCTCGCCTTGTAGTATGTTGCTAAAGTAACCTCACAGTCTTGTAGCAGCGGAGTCATCAAAATTCCGTGTGGCTCAGAAACATCGGGAGGAGGCAGCCTGCTTGGAGCTGGAGAGGAGGCTTGGCGGGTGTGGCCGCCACCTTACACGCCGACAACGCGTTGGGTCGGGATTAAGGATGCTCAGAATTTTGGGAATCCGGGGCTCAGGGTTTAGTGGCGGGACCACACTCCTAAACCTTTCCTGAACTCCTAGAGCCGGTGCACCCAAACCGGAAGGCCTATGCACCCACAACCTACCAACCCATCGACTCCCTCCAAAGGCGACTCTACACAGCAGGGTTGGAAGCTTTAGCCCTTCAGGGTTCAACTCCCTGCCGCTTCGGTTTCAGGATTTGCAGCCTGTTGCGAACAACAAATGGTCGACGAGGGACGTGATTTTCGCAGCCGTGATAAGATACCCATTGTCATACCAACGATATTGGGATATGGGCTGGTGAGCAATATGTCATAGACCTCACGTTGCGTGCCGAAGGATCTCGGTGCCGATTATTGGGATCCAACAACAAAATTGAAGTGACACCCGCAAGATGTTCGAAATTCACGAGAGCTGCGAGATTTGCCACAGCTTCTCCTTCTGCTGCCGATGCCTCGGCTCGATAACTCGTCTCTAGAGCAGGAGGAGAAAGCAGGTGCAGGCAGGTGATTCCTGCGAGTCATGTCGCTCAGGGCTTAAAATCGATCGCTTGAGGTGAAACTTCAGGATTCAGAGTTAGGGACGAGAGTTCGGGGGGCCGGTTTTCGGGCGCAGGTTTACGTGTCTGTGCTGCCTGTGCTGATGTGTGTGTATACAGACGGACCGAGCCGCTTCTTTTGGTACATATGCATATGTGTATCCACACACAACCACAACGGTGGATACGTGGGTATGTGTGGCATGTATATATGTATGTATGACGTACGTATGCATGTACGTACGTACGTACGT